CCCTTTTTTTTTAATTTTTTTTTTCTTTCCAAATTAGGAAGCATGAGCCTCGGTCTTCCCAGTCAATAGTGAGGCTTATCATGATTAGCCTTCTTAGTTATAACTTAGTTTTTTATAGTTTATCTTTGGTCCTTTGAGCCTTAGCAGCCAACTGCAGGCGTCTCCTGTCTGCATAGGTTTTTATACCCCAACCCCCAATTATTTGAGAAAGAAAACCTCTTGAGAAATTTAGCGACAAATCCAGATGCTAAAAGCAGATGCATACTGAATCTTGGCTCAAAGCAAGATGTTATAGGATAAGCTGATTCTTGTATTTAATTTCACTTGAAAAACAAATTAATTCAGTTTGAGTTATAATGTTTATGGTCACAAGTTAAATTTTCAGTAGATAAGTAGCAATTAGAACTTAATTTTAAAGGTTAACTAGAAGATATTTTTGTGTGGAATTTCAGCCATAAACATGCAAACATATGATATTAACAAAATATATATATATATATATATATATATAGTCATCACAAAACTTATATATATTTTTATACTTGTAATCAATTGATCATTGATTCCTAAATTACACATATTCAAGACTACAGTACTATTTGCTAATAAGTTTAATTCGTGTAGAATATATATTAAGGAGTTATGTGTTTGTTAACCCATTCAACAAAAAAAGAAAGGCGGCCTAGTAGCCAAAAACTTAAAAACAATATTTTCAAAAAGACATGTAGTTCTGGTATAAAGACATGTAGTTAATGGTAATTCAAGCAGCAGACGGTGCAGAAACATAGGGAATGGCAGGCTCTGGTATAGAAGCCATGATCTGTGACCTCGATGAAAAGGTTTCTTCGTTAGAGTTTTCAGGCTTGAAATCTAGAGATTCATCATCGTATATATCCCACCATTTCTTCACCAACACCTTTATATCCTCTCTCTCCATGTTTGCCTCCTTCCCTGTGTACCTCCATGGTTTTGATCCCTGTAATTAATAATCGTTTTCTAATACATTAATAATTAAGATATGTTAACGAGCTTACTTTAACTAATTAATTACGTATTGTTATTTAAACTTAGTTAGAAAGAAAAATTAATTAATGTTATATACTTACAGCTGCACAATAATGCGCCACCTTAACTTTCTCAAACTCCACATTCTCTGGATGGCGCCATAACATGGCCAGAACCAAGTTGTATATGAGAGGGATAGGTTTGTACACTTTCTGGAAGAACATATTCAAGAAATCCTACACCACATACACAAACAAGATGAAGCCAACTTAGCAATTACAAATATCTATTAACTTTTTTAAATAATTACAAATATCAATTCTCTTATGTCAAATGAGTTATATATTCTTATAAATAAATACTTTTGGAATATTGTTTTTTTTCCTTTCAAACACATTCTTTTTCTCTCTTTCATTAATTTATCTTCTTTTTCTTTTTTCTATGCCTCTGCAATTTGATATTTGATCTTTATGTATGTAAATACGTACGAACTATATATATATATATATACATATAAAAAAAAAAAAGAAATAACATAAACTGGGTATATACATAGTTAGAGGGTATTACTTGCTCGGCAAATGGTGTTGGTGGAGTGATCTTGAGAGTGTGGAGAAGATCGTGATAAGTAGAAGGACTAGGCTCAAAGACAAACATGCCGGCGTTGAAATAGAGAGGAGGAGGAGGAGGAGATCCCATGTGAGCTGGCCATTTAACTCGATCCGGACACTGTTGACAATATCCAATTGAATATTGGACGGAGTGGCTCCATGTTTTCTCACAGAAACAGTCCATTGTCGCATACAAATATCCATCTGGTGCCTCAAACAGATGGTCTATATTCTCGAATACTTGAATATCCGCATCCAAATAAATCATCTTACTATACTCCAAGAACTGTCATCCATGTCACAATATATATATATATATATATATCTATTACATTAAAAAAAAACAAACAAACAAACAAAACAATACATACATACATCAAAATTAATGTACGAGAAAATTAAAAAAAAAATGTTTAATTTTTCTTCTTTCATTAGATATTTGAATATTGTTAAGAGCTAGTAACCATTTACTATTTAAAAATATTTGAAAATTATTTTTTTCAATATTTATCTGCAAACTATGTGATTTATAGAATGTTTATTAGGGAAAAAATTTAGATATTTCTTATTAGAAAATCGAAGTTTATAATTAAAATGGGATTGATCCTAATCACTATTTTTTCTATTAGTAAATTTGATTGAGAGTTTATTATGTGATTTTTTTTTTTTCCATGTGTACTTAAAGTTCTTCGTGTAAAATATTGTGTTGTTACGTTCTGCATAAGCAGTATTTTTAATTTTTTCTATAATTGAATTCAATTAGTTTACAAGATTAATATTATACAAAGCGTTACACATATATAGGACGGGCACACACGCTATTCAAGTCTATATGAACATATGTGGGATCTGATGAGGATGGACGTTCTTAGGGAGTTGCAATACATGAATAGTACATATATATGGGGTAATGATAATATGTATATACTTACATTCCATATGCGAAGCTTAGAGTAGTTGATAACGTAGTAGGCCATGGCAAACTGAACCTGGTTATCAGGCGGATAAATAGGCTGAATCTCACGCACGATGCAGCCCTGAGACTTCAAAATCCGACGGTGCTCCTCCGGCACATCAGGCAACAATGCTACAACAAGAGGATACGCACTCTTCACCTTCCGCAAACCCTTCGCCAACCCAATCACTCCTTTTATATAATCACCATCGCCGGCCAAGAACGTTACATAACCTCTCCCACCACCAGAGATTTTTCCGGCACTGACCGACATGTTCTCCGTCGCTTCAGGTGCCATTTTTACTTTGTGGAAGATTCAGAGAGTTGGGTGTGTTGAGGAGTGTAAAGAAAGTAAAGTAGCAACCGTGAGAGAAAGATGCCACCTTACTGACCTTTGTCCTGAGGACAAAATGCCACCATGAGAGTCCTTAAATAGCCATCAAATGAGGTGTAAATGAACTCCCGATGACACCTAAATTCAGTATTGTGTACTGCCATTCATGTCATTTTCCAGCTTTCTTTCTTCTTTTTTTTTTTTTTTTTTCTGGTTTAATATTATATATCTATATATATGTGTATGTGTGTGATTTTCTCTTGGTGACCA